TGTTTTGTTCAAATGAATCTTACTGTGACGACTGTCACATGGATTGGGAGGGACCACTCTGTCGGTGTAGTGTTCACTGTGAGGGAGAATGCTCTTACCAGGGACACTGCTCTGGGAATTGTTCTGAGGGATGGTTCGGCTCTAGCTGCCATCAGAAATGTTCTTCCCATTGCAAGCGATGTGAGGAGTCGCCATACAACTGTACAGAATGTTATCATGGATACCCTCCCCTTTGCTCGAGTAAGCATGCGCGTATCTTTTGAAATTCGAATAGTATATTCTTTTCCATTAAGTAAACTTTACATTCTTATATAACCTTCTTAACATCTTTTATCAAAGTCTTCATTTTTAAAACCCTTTTAGATATGAATAGTGTTGATGTTGATATACTTCATTTTAAGGCGAGAAGCTGTATATTTCTGAAGAAACAATGACCATGATGATGGCAGGAGGAGGGATAATCCTTGTACTGGTGCTCATAACCATCTGTATCATCATCATAATCAGAAAACTGTGTCAATCTTCCAATCAAGGAGACACATATGGTTTCATTGAGACTCAAGATATAGAATTGGAACCGATGTCACAGACCAATCCCTACGCCGACCTGGAATCAGCCCAGTACATAAATGATTCCAACAGAATGACAGTAGATGAATTCATACTAAATGTACATCATAAGAAACTTAATCATGCATTTCGAAGAGAATTCAAGGTATTTTGTTAAATACATTATCGATCCCTATATAATTTTTATTGTCCAACTTATTTTTGTGCAAACAACTGCGAAATAAAAAAGCAATTGCATTTTAGTTTGAAAACTTGATAATGAAACATAAAAGTTAATAGAAATTTAAAGATCAAGACAAGAAAGGATGAGTACCTATTTGGTTCCAGGGATTTTTGTGTCTCAAATGATGATACACTGTACAATAGCTACTTATAAGAAACATGTAGCTCTTGTTAAAGAATCGGTACTGATAATCAGTTATTGGATTCAAAGACACCAGAAGAAGATCAAAACGTTTTTTTTTATTGGATTTTTTCTCTTTTTAAAAATGTTCTTATATTTTTAATAACATTTATTTCTAAGAAACATAAAGCATAAGCTTACATTTTTACTAATTCTACATTTGCCATGCATTTGTTTTACATGTAACGTTCGGAAGGTATATCGTTATGTGTGTTGAATATACTGAGCTGGGGTTAAAAGAAAAAGGAGTAGAGTAATTTGAATAGGAAAAAACACAATTGTCGTATAATAATGAATACATGTAACTTCTTTATTTCAGAAAATTCCATACCGAATGAACGAGTCATATTATGCAGCTATTGATCCGAAGAATAAATCTAGAAATAGATATAAAAAAGTATATCCATGTAAGTAGATGTTTAAATATGTGTTTTATTGGATTTCTTTAAATCTTTTGGAAATATTTTCCTTTTTGTTTAAGTATCATAAATAAAGATAACTTTCACAAGTGCATAAATTTATGAGACGGAAATTTTGAGGATATGAATTTGAACGAGTAAGATTTCTGAGCAAATACAGTGCATTTTTTATATATAGAACTGAATACGTATGGTGTTTCCTCTTACATGTACATGTTTAATTAGCATTTTTGTAAAATCTACAGGAAATAGCAGGATTAGCTATGCAGAATTTTTATCTTTCCCATAATTAATTGAATACTTATAATATCTATATTCACTTCCAATTCTTTCAATAAAACCTGAGATTTGTATCAGTTGTAGAGATCAATGGTACGAGAAATAACCCCACATGTATGCTATTCTGATTGTTTTTGTAGATGATTCCAGTCGTGTGGTCCTTGATACTTCCGATTTTCCAGGAAGTTCTGATTACATTAATGCCTGTTTTGTACATGTACGTTTCAAGCTTCATTAAAAATATTTATTTACCATATAAATGAAAGTTTTATCTAGAAACAGATTTGATCGTTGTACAAAACCTAAATCTGTGACAAATTCCTTCCCTGTGATATGTTTATTGTCTGTTTTCATTTACAGGGTTTTCACAAACAACGGGCATACATAGCTTCACAAGGTATCAAATGTGTTAACTTAAAAAAATGTATATAGCCTAAAAATGATTTTTTTTTTCATTGACACCACTTTTATTCATCCATTTCAATTTAAAGATCATTTGAATACATTTTAAAAACAGAATCACAGAATGCAAGTTCGTCCAATAATTTAATAAGTTTTTTTCTTTAAATTCATATATCTATTTGTTCATCTTATTATAAACATATTACAGTGTGAAGTATTTCTTTTAACATGCCATTCGCTCTCAATTTCTCACTCAAACACATTCATTTTGATACGTGGAGGCAAATTTGTTCTTATATTTCAAAATAAAAAAGTGAAAAAAGAATATAGCCCAAATTAGTGTTTCATATTATAACAGATTAAAGGCTTGAACGAAATTGCGTTTCCAAAAGCAAAATGTTGATTTGATGATGAAATATGTGGCGATAACGAACGTATTCTAGCTCAAGAATTAAAAGTACAAAATAGGAGCAGAGCGAACAAGGACCTTCAAAACATCAAAGATGGGAACATGTTGCCATTGAGAAGTGAGCATCCCCTGCCGATCGGCCACATCCGCCATGTGCTCCTTATTATGTTCGGGAAAAGAAAATAAACGAAAAAATCCGCGGAAAGCTCGGTGTATAAATAATGGCCTAATAATCAGTATGAAAAAGTCAGCAAGCATTTGACTTACTGATAAAATGTATTTGCTTATATGGATGAATGAATTAAATTTTCTTTGATAAGCTGTCGTAAAGCGATATTTCGTTACTAGAAAAAGTGAATGCACATAGCATTCACATATGTGAAGGGTTCTTTTAACAAATTACTGATAAAAGATAGAGGATGCTTATTTTGTATGCCGGAGACTTTGAAGATTCTAACTGGAAAAAGCATCTCTGCAGTAAATAAAAAAGATAATTGCGCATACGAAGTCACTAGTTTTTGGACTTTTGAGCATGAATATTGTTCGAAATGCATGTCCAATACATGAAAAATTGTATCGTATAATATTTATAATCAATATAAACCTACATTTCCTACTTTTTGCTAAAGAAATTAATTAACTTCTAGGTCCGTTTACTGAGGAGACAGTTTTAGATTTTTGGAGGATGGTGTGGCAGATGAGAAGTGTGAAGATCGTCATGTTAACAAATCTTACAGAAGAAGGAAATGTAAAATAACTTAAATACTACATATAGGAGAAATATTTTTAAGCTTTATTGCATCATTGTAAATGTATTTATGAATATTCTGGTTAATTATAATTTAGTTACGCATTATATTTATTGAGGTTGTTATTTTCACCAAAATTTAGAGATGCGTAAAATATATATTGTACACCAACTTATTGAAAAATTGAATAAACTCACACATATTATACATTTGCAGTACCTGTTTTTTTGGGATTTTTTTTTTTTTTTTTTTTTTTTTTTTTTTTTACATTTTATAACATTATGAATGAAAAATAATAAAATATATGCATATATTTTTTCAGATGAAATGTTTAAAATATTGGCCAAATACCGAGGCTTTAATAGGACCTTTCCTGATCAAGACTGAGAGACAAAACACCTGCAGAAGATACATAATAAGACATATCAAACTTAAATTGGTAACGTAACAATCCATTTTACAGATTTCGTGTTTGAAAACAGACATGCCATTGATAAAAATTAAACGTTAAACATTTCTCAACAATTTGCATTTGGGTTCTAGAATAGAAAGGATTTTTTTTTTACATTTTAGCAAACTTTAAGGTAAGGTCTATCAGCACTACAGGAAGTTCTTATGTGCATTTTTTATGAAATAAAGTATATTTGAACATTTCAGGGCATTGAAGAGAGAGTGGTAAAACAATATCAGTATACAGCGTGGTACACAACAAGGGTACCCAATAACGTCGACTCTCTCCTCCTCTTTAGAAATCTCGTCATGAGCGATGTTTCTGATGATGACGGTCCTATCATCGTCCATTGCAGGTAAAGAGTCTTTAAATGAAGGTTTACTGACATATATAATACAGAAAAATACTATATCTACCATATGTCATAACCCTGAAGCAGAAACTTTATTATGTTGTTAACTAGTGTTATTCTATTGCACCTTTTACTCATCAGTGCGGGGGTGGGGCGCACGGGGACATTTATTGCCCTGGATTACCTCCTAGATGAGGGAATATCGACTGGTTACCTAGATGTTGTTGGCTATATCCAGATATTGAGGCAGCAGCGGGCCTATGCTGTACAATCTACAGTATGTCCTCTCTCTTTCTCTTTCTCTCTCTCGCGCGCAGACATACATAATTACACTCATTTTACCTAAGTGTCAATAACGAGAGAAAAAATGTATCTTTGATACGAATTGTCTTAAAGTGATTTAAAACAATTGAATTTACTTTAAATTCTTTTTTCTCATATAGGATGAGTACATTTTCCTACACGACGCCCTTGTGGAGGGATTTACGAGTAAGCATGAGAACAGGTCTATAGAAATTGCCGACGAATTGTGAACAAGTGTTTGCAAAACAAATGTTATATTTCATATGCCATGGAAAATGCTTTGAGTTATTCATTTGTTATTAAAATTTCAATCAAACTTTATCATGCGATGTTTAATATTTATTTTAAGTTTAATATTTAAAGTTCTGCTATGACTAAGACATAGGCTGTGAAATTTTTTAATATATTCTAAGTTGTACAATTTAAGTTTGATTTCAATTACATGTATACAAATTCAGTAACAATTAAAATCTCTACAATATATTTCATTACATTGAATAACCATTAACACTGTTTTTTTTTCATTCTTATGTCGATACGATATATCTTAGTGAGCTCCAGATAAAATATACCACAGATATACCGCAGAGTCTGACACATCTGTTTCGCATTTGGATATTTTACTTGCAAAAGACGTTAATGGTGATTTTACACGTGATGACTTTTCAAGTGCATGTTCTACACATGTACAATTTCTAAAACGATGTAAATTATTGACAAACAAGTTGATGAAACAAGAATATCAGCAGTCTTGTTTAAAGTCATCATTTCGTAAGTTTTATGGTCGATACAATGACGTTGTCAGCAAATACAATTTATCATTGAGTCAAATGCTGACTGACGTTTTTCATTCCAATTCTTAGGCCATCAATTTTAAAGTGGATTGACGACGGATGCTCTGTTATTTCCAGATCATGACAAGGAGCGCACGGCGGGTGTGACCGGTCGGCAGGGGATTCTCATCCCTACATTGTACCTGGTCCCACCTCTGATGTCTCGGAGGTCAGAGTTAGCTCTGCTCCGATTTTGTATTGTTAAATGTACTTCTGAGCTTGAATACTGTTCGTTATATTCTTATATTTCATTGATTTGCTACATACAGTGTCTCAAAAAATACTTTGTATAGAAATTCCACGAAATTCTTGATCAGTTTGATTTCTATATTAGTATTTGTAATTTGTCATAACTTTAAGCATGAAAGTGCTTGATAAAAAAATCTACAAACAACACAAACTTGTTACCAGAGCATCTACACAGTCCCCGTGAAAATCCAGAGATTAGATGTTATAGCATGAGTAATCATCTCCTGCTGACAGACTGGTAATACCTCCGTGAGCAAGGTTTTGATCAATTTGAGGGAACATTTCATAGTCGAATTAAAAGTAAAAAAAAACCATCATGCTTTCAATAAAAGCCTCTCAGAGACCATTCACGTCCAACTTGCCCTTCATTGATAAACTTGTATTATTTCTACAATGATGGTTTTCACTAAAAGTACAGCACAAAACAGATGAATTTTTTAAAACAACAATATCCAAATTTTTTTTTATATATATAATATTATTTACTTTAAAAATATGCACTTAAAGTAATTGTTTTCTTAATATACTTTCTTTCTGTTAATTAATGATATATTTATACAATGTAAAAGTTTTAACTTTATACCTCACATAGTTGTGGAGAAGGGTATGGAGATAACGAACAGTATTCAATCTCAAAGTCCATAAAACAATACAAAATAAGAGCAGAGCAAACACGGACCTCCGAAACATCAGAGGTGGGATCAGAGTGCCATGGAGGAGTGAGCATCCCCTGCCGACCGGTCACCCCCGCCGTGTGCTCCTTGTCATGATCAGGAAATAACGGGAAAATTCGTAGTCAATTCAGTAATGGACTAACAATTAGTATGAAAAACGTCAGTCAGCATTTGACTCAATGATAAACTGTTTTTGCTGACAAGGTCATTGTATCGACCATAGAACTTACGAAATGATGACTTTAAACGAGACTGCTGATATTCTTGTTTCGTCAACTTGCTTGTCAATAATTTACCTCGTTTTAGAAATTGTTCATACGTAGAGCATGCTCTTGCGTATCGAATCAACTGAGATATATATACCGGTACTCCGTATGCAGGTGATGAAGGTATATTATTGCATAAGTAAGGGAAGTTGACAATAGAAAAGTTAAAGTCATCACGTTTATCATATAGCTTGGTTGTTAGATTACCATTAGTGTCTTTTTCAAGTAAAATATCCAAGTATGAAACAGATGTGTCGGACTCTGTGGTATCTTTTATCTCAAGCTCACCAGGATATATTGTATCGACGTAGGAATGGAAATTACCATTATTAATTGAAAATACGTCGTCGATATATCTAAATGTCGAGTTGAAGGCCACAACAAGTGTTTTCTTCTTTTCACGCATAAGATTTTGCATAAATTCTGCTTCATATGAATATAAAAACAAGTCTGCTAATAAGGGAGCGCAATTTGTACCCATTGGAATTCCAATAGACTGTTGGAATAAGTGGTCTCCATAAACCACATAGATGTTGTCAATCAGAAACTCACGCATCTTCTTGATGTCAACTTCAGAGTACTTATGTGTGCAATCAGAATCTGTTTTAACAAAATAATTTTGCAAATGACCAATGACGAGATAAGTAAATTTACGAGTTCCATTTTTATTGAAGAAACAGCTGTCAATGATATCAAAAAGCCTGGATTTTGAATTGTCGTTTGAAATTGTTGTGTATAAAGTTGAAAAGTCATAAGTTTTTAAGCTGTTGATTTTTGTAAAGTCTTGTGATTTCAAAGTGTCCAAAAGCTCTTTAGATTTTTTTAGTATCTAGGAGCTATTGTAAAAATAATTTTTTGATATGCTGACCTTCTGTGAAACCTTAAAGTATTTATTTACATATTTACATAATCCAAAAAGAAACACAAAAATACATCTGAAAGTTGAATTTATGAAAAGGAGAGAGAGAGAGAGAGAGAGAGTATTTAGAAGATAGTGAGTGTGCGATGAATGCTTATTACAAGTTATGAAATACAACATATCATATTTGTTCTTCAAGTTTTATTAAAGATAAATGATATTTCTACTAAATTATTTGTTGATTAAAGGAATATTCTGTGGTCAAATTTAGTGCAAAAACAAAAAAAAAACTATCAATAGGTATGAAAAATATCAGCCAAAATACAAACAACGAAATGTGTTTGTAAACATGGCCATTATTACACCCATATTATACAATTAATTACCCCTTGTGAGGTCAACATGGTGAAATAAGGACCCGAGACCTGGCCCACGAGGTGACCTGGCCTGACCGAGGCCGCGAAAAGTATAAATCTCTTATCATTATAAATTCTTTCTTTGATCGGGATCGGGATTCGCTACAGACCGGATAGTGAATTTGTTTACATTGACGTCTGCAAGTCGTGTAAGTTTTTGCATTGACATGATTTACTGATTAAAACAATATTTAGTTGATAGCGACATACATTGTTATAACTAACGATTACTTTTCCTCTACACAGTCAAAATCTAACACAGAATTCATCTCTTTAAAGAGCCGCCTCTACATTCTATTGAACTGAATTGTAACGATATATTGAAGCGATAGATATTTTACCGTATTCTGTATGGTAATGCAAAACAGACCACGCACAATTTTAAAACATGCTGTTTTTTTTCGAATAATTATTATTTCATGCATTAACTTCACTCAAAATCGAATTTTTGATTAAGCGGTCATTTTTAGCGATCATTTAAAATAATGACCGGGTTATTATATCCCACACGCAACGATTCCTAGGTCAGTATTGCTGTAAACAGTACCATTTGGAGTCATTGTTGTGTTTTAAAGTTTTCTTACCAGCCAATCAAATTCAAGTATTATCAATAGAGGTATAATAAAGAATTTTAATGATGCTGACTTTAAATGCGGTTGCTGAAATCCCAGTAGTATATGAGTATGTTGTCCAAACCAATCGGAGAAATTGTCGGATACATAACAAGTATTAGAGATAAGGAGCGGGACTTTGGCTCCAATGATAGAATTCCCTCAAAGGAATATTAGTATTCCAGAGTATTGCGAGGAGGAAGCCGGTGTAACAACGAAAAGTGACCCCAATACAATATTGACCAGGGGGTCATTTTTCTACGTAGGAAAATGACCCTCGGTCAATATTCTACGACAAATAGGGTCATTTTTCGACTGTAGAAAAACATTCCAGACCAGTAATTCCACGACTCCACACACGTTGAAAAATGAGTCCTACAGAATTTTGACCCCCTACTTTTTTATACAATAAAACCTTATATATGTGTCTCCTGATATTCTTTCATACTTTCTAATGCAAGTAGGGGGAATTTTTTTTATGCACTTTAATCCTTTCCAACATATATTTGATTGCATATCTTAATAAAAGCATCATTATCAATGTATCTGGTATGGATTTATTTTTGGCTTGCAGAATCCCAATGAATAATTATTCATTGAGAAGCATAAATGTATTCTTATATTTTTGATTGTTTTTTATCATTCAAAGGTTTTGTTCCGAAAATGGCATGATATGTTTTCGATAACTATAAACTTTTTTTTACAAATCCAAAAACATAGCATAGAAGCACGAAAAGCAAACGTTATCTAACTATATAAATTCAATTCCCTTAGCTCTCACATTTAAACTTAAATTTACATCTGTATGAAAGAAGGATATGGAGATAACGAACAGTATTCTATATCAATGCAAAGTCCATAAAACAATACAAAATAGGAGCAGAGCAAACACGGACCTCCAAAACATCCATCGTCAATTCAATGTAAAAATAATGGACTAACCATTAGCACGAAAAAAGTCAGTCAGCATTTGACTTAATGATAAATTGTATTTGCTGACAAGGTCATTGTATCTACCATAGAACTTACGAAATGATGACTTTAAACGAATATTCTTGTTTCATCAACTTGCTTGTCAATGATTTACCTCGTTGAAGAAAATGTTCATATGTAGATCATGCCCTTGCGTATCGAATCAACTGAGAGATAATTACACACTTCGTATGCAGGTGATTAAGGTTTATTGCTGCGTGAGTAAGGGAAGTTGACGATAGAAAAGTTAAAGTCATCACGTTTATCATATAGCTTGGTTGTGAGATTATCATTAACGTCTTTTTCAAGTAAAATATCCAAGTATGAAACAGATGTATCAGACTATGTGGTATCTTTTATCTCAAGCTCTTCCGGATATATCGTATTGAAGTAGGAATGTTAATTGCCATTGTTAATTGAAAATACGTCGTCGATATATCTAAATGTCGAGTTGAAGGCCACAACAAGTGTTTTCTTCTTTTCACGCATAAGATCTGCATCATATGCACAAATTCTGCATCATATGAATACAAAAATAGGTCTGCTAATAAGGGAGCGCAATTGGTACCCATGGAAATTCCAATAGATTGTTTGAAGACCTGGTCTCCAAAAATCACATGGATTTTTTCAATCAGAAACTTAAGCATCTTTTTAATGTCAACTTCAGAGTACTTGTGTGTGTAGTTAGAGTGTGTTTTAACAAAATAATTTTTCAAATGACCAATTACCAGGTAAGAGAATTTACGAGTTCTATTTTTACTGAAAAAGCAGCTGTCTATGATATCAAAAAGTCTGGACATTAATTTATCGCGGGGAATGGTTGTGTATGAAATTGAAAAGTCGTAAGTTTTTAAGCTGATGATTTTGGTAAAATCTTGTGATTTCAAATTGTTCAAAAGTTCCTTGGAATTTTTATAGTATCCGCGTCTGATTCACACTACTTCTTAACTAGTATATTGTTGCACAGTACTCGAAGTTTTTTCTTCATTTCTGTCAATATCTTAGTGAGATGTTACGAAAGAGAGGCATGGTTGAACATTTACGGGAACCCGCAATGTATCTTTGTTTGTAAGGATTCTTATGAAGTTTCGGGATTCAATATATATATAGGGAGTTCAAATTCATTTTGGCTCTGCGGAATATTAAAAATATTCAAAACTTACATATTGTTCAATAATATGATTTTGAAGAAGGGAAGTATGAGTATAAGAAGGATTACCACTTGTAGAATTAAATCCAAGTTCTTCTAATATATAATTTGCATAATGAGTCTTACAAACGAAGACAATATTGTTACCTGCTTTGTCGGCAGGGACCAGTACGTACTGATCATGTAATCTATCTATTTCTTTTTTCACGTCTGAATTATTGAACACAGACGGATAGATGGTTTTCATATTGCCCCTCAGTCTTTTAATACGCGACTTAAATATGGATCTGATACATTTAATCCATTCTGACAAAGTGTCAACGTCTTCTTTTTCATATCTGTTCCATTGTCTGGCGTAATTTTCAACAGATCTGTTGAATCCATAATATTTATGAAATTTCAACGCCAGTTGAAGGAGCAGGGTTATGCATTCTGCTTTAAAATACACACTTTTTAACTACCTGATATAAAGTACTAAATTTTTTCATGTATATACAGGAAATACCATACACATCGAGAACATTCTTATGATGATATTAAAAAATCCTCCAAAACTGGCAAAAATTTACATCTGCGTGAATAACAGTTGAACCTTCAGAGATATCTATAAATTCAAAAAAATACTTTCCTTTTCCCTGACCAATGGTGCTGTTACACCCCCTTTCTTCTGAGATTTTATAGACATTACCTTTGCAAATCAATGAACTCTATTAGTCTATCATGCCGTACTTCGATATAGAGTCCTAGCACATACCGCCCAAAAGTTAATGCTAACGTAAAAGTGTGGAATTTGGGGTAAAAGTGTCTCAAACTCCAAGGTCAATGTCATAAGGTCAAAGTTGGTTGTACACAAAAAAAGGGTCTTATCATAAAGTTACAACTGTGAAATATGAAAGCCCTAGTCCCACTTGTTTCAGGAATTCATATACCTATGTACAGACAACACTGTTTAATTAATCAGTTTTTGAGGTCTATTGATTGATTGTGGAGAATAATTTTTGAATTATTGAAAGGAACTGAATGTGAAATTCGATGATAAAGAATTTAAATGAAGCTCAAGTGTCCATTTAACCCCCTTCCCCGCATTCACGCATTTTAACGCACATACCATTTTCTATTTCTAACGCAAAATCATGCATCTACTGTTTCCCGGCAATCACTCATTTTCACGCACTTTCAAAAGTATATTTAATTTTTAATTTAATCACAGTTCCCTTCCATTTTATACTTAATAAAATCTCATTCAAAAAGAAAGCTATATTCCTATCAAAATATTACACGTCATAATTATTAATGCTATACTTTTGAGGAACGTGTGTATCACGCTATAGGGTGCTTGCGGGGAAACGGTAACGTCATATTTCTATGACATGAACATAAAATGTATGTTGCGTCGCAGTTCAGTAAGTTGTAAAAAGTTAAAGGATAGAAAAATTACAAACTTCTATAAACATGAGAGCTGGATTAGGCACCATTGAGGAGTAAACAGCCCTTGTTGACCACTCATATCCGCCTCATGTTTCTTCCTATTATAACGAACAGAAAAAATCGTAGAAAAATTCAGTGAATAAAATGTCTTAACAATTTGTGTGAAAAATGTCTGTCAACATTCGATATATTTTTCTCTTTTTTTAATCTTCAAACTCACTTCAAACTGACTAAAAATATGTTTCTTCATTTCAAATAAACATGGACTGTAAGATTCAAACACCCGATAGGGGTCCCAAGGAATGTCGATGCCATCTTTGTAGCTCTCAAAATTTTGTATCTTTTGTACGCGTTTAAATTTATCATCAAACAAACTCGAAGGTCGTCTGTTCACGGGAATTCTTTTAAAAAATGTTTTACAGTAATTAAGGATGGTTTTCAAAATGATTTATGTTTGGTATCAATATCTTTTGAACTCTTTCCGTAACCTATAGCAGAATCAAAGTTTAAATTGTCATTACCACACTCACCACTCATATACTTCACATTCTTTGTCTACTTCATCAATTAGAGAGATTTTTAACGAATTTTTTTGTTTTTATTTAGTCTTCAAACATTCACGTTTCTTTTCTTTTTTTAGAAATATTTAGTTTGATTTCGAGTTAAAGTGAATACAATGTACGCACCCGTTTTATCTCTTACTTCCAATTTCAATTGCAATTTTTAGCGTTCGACACTTGTTGGCTTCCATACTCAATATAACAGTAAAAGAATTCGAAGGCAAAGATTAAATTCCTGTACATAAAGTTGTGTCGAGGCACGTACCTTTGGGAAATAAGTGTGAGATCATGGAGGTGTCAGAAATGAATTTGGACCAAAGCTATCTCAGATCTAAAGTAACCCCAGGAGCACCGTAAACGACACTGACTAAACTTCTACAAAAGTGGGCAATTGAAGTGCCAGAACAAGAAGCGTGTGTTTTTTTATAACTTTGGCAAGCCAAGAACTTCTATCACCTATGAAAAACTGTACCAGGATGCAGTATTGCTGGCAAAAGGACTTTTGCAGCTTGGAATAAATAAGGGCGACGTAATAGGAATAGGTGGAAACAACACTATTGAATGGCTAGTGAGTACGTTTGGTGCACAGCTTGCAGGGGCGTGTCCCTTACACTTCAATTTTCATGACAAGTCTGGGGAGAGCAGAAAAAGAATTATCAGCAAAGTTGGAGGCCGTAAAATGCAAATTTTTGATCCTGGAGACAATGACGTTCACTGGGAAATATATCAAAAATTCCTACAAGTGGATCCCAAAATTGGTGTTGTCGGCTCTGATCTACCATCTGTAAAATGGGTCGTGTTACAGACACCTCTGCAGTCTTCTGACGCTTGTTTTACGAAAGAAGATGTTTATGCCACGGAGAATATGAAGTTACCAGAAGTAGACCCAGATGACACAGGTGCTAGTATTCTTACATTCGGGAGTACAGGATTACCAAAGGCTGTACAATATAGTCATCATCGTATTATTGAATATGTATATAATCTACTACATGCAGGTGGCTGAGATGGTAAGGAAGATGGACAGTTTTCATTGTACAATGATCGGCCATTTTATTGGATAGGGGGATACCCGAGTGTAGCTCTTGTAAGAGGAGGAAAACTTATAACCCAGCAGAATACTCTTCTATTCCCAAGTATTGCAAAGGCTATGGAATACACCTCAAGTATAATAGAGGAAGCAAGGCCCAAAATCGCTGTTATTGTCGTTCCTTTCCTTATGGAACTACTAATGACAGAAGATGTTTCTTGGAAAATTCCAACAGTTTTCACGGGAGGTCAGCCTGTCCCGGCCTCTTGCTTATCAGCCATCGGGAAAAGATGCGACGCCCTTTTAGTTCTGTACGGCTCAACAGAAACTAGTTTTACAGCTGGAAGGCTGTATACCTCGCCTAATGACAAATGCATTGGTCTATCGCCGTTACCTGGGGTGGAAATGAAAATTGTAGGGAAGAACGTAATGACGGTTCCCCTTGGAACAAAAGGAGAAGTGCTTACGCGCAGCTGTTTACCATTCCCAGGTTACATCAATGAAGTCGAAAAAACCGCGGTTGTTATTACTCCTGTTGGATGGTATAAAACAGATGATTTCGGACAAATTAATTCTTCTTGTTACCTTGAAGTATTTGGCAGAGTGTCTGACGTTATGGAAATCCCTGGAGCTAAGGTTCTGCCATCCTTTCTCGAAGAAATTATTAAAAGGAATCTCGGTGTTAAGGAAGTGGTGGTCTTCTCCATAAAAGACGAAGTACACGCTGACGACATTCCTTGTGCAGCTGTTGTTAAGAAGGACGGGATGACCTTGACTGAAGAATCCCTCAAAGATTTTATCAAACAAGAGCTCAATGTTTCTTAGGAAGCTATATTCATGGAATATAAATATTTAAACTCATTTTCAGTCAACTTATGTAAAAAAAAAGTTTCTTCTTTTTGGAATTGGATAATATTTTATCTACTTTTTTTTTACTAACTTTCTGCATAATTGTTTTTATAGATTTGCACGCAGAATTAAAGCATTTTAATACTAGTAATAACTGGTTATATATTTTTTGTGTGTGTTTTCAAAGGTTTTTGATTTCCTTATATACAATGAAGGATATGGAGATAACGGACAGTATTCAATATCAACGTCCATAAAACAATACAAAATAGGAGCACAGCAAACACGGACCTTCAAAACATCAGAGGTAGGATCAGATGCCATGGAGGAGTGAGCATCCCCTGTTGATCGGTCACATCGGCTGTGTGCTCCTTGTCATAATCCGGAAGTAACGGGAAAATCTGTCGTCAATTCAGTGTATAAATAGTGGACTAACAATTAGTATGAAAAACTCTAGTCAACATTTCGTTAAGTTGTATGGTAGATACATTGATATTGTCAGCAAATAAAATTTATCATTGAGTCAAATGCTGACAAACGTTTTTCATGCTAGTTGATACTGACAAAGGCATTGGACAAATAAATCCTTACAAAGACGCACAGCGGGTTTGGTGTTCTACCAAGTCCTTAGTCTTCGAAAAATATTAACAGCAGTAAAGGAGACACTTCAGGGATACTATTCTACAATATATTCGAGAAGTGTTGTGAATCAGTTATGGATGCTTAAGTTAGAAATCACAAATTTTACCAAAATCAATAACATCAACATGTATGACTTTTAAACACTTTATTATGAAATTAATCATTCCCCACGATGTTTAAATAAAAGTTCGGGCCCTTAGACGTCCCATACAAGTCATTTTTCAATAAAACATCTCTTTAATCTCTTTCAAATGACACCAAGATCATCGACCTTGAAACCTTGACTGTGATCTATATACTTCATATGCATACTCCAAGTTCTTTCAAATGACATCAAGGTCAATGGCCTTGTGACCTTTACTGACCAATATTCTAAAAATACCTTTTTCGAACTTTTTTGCCGCCGAGCGCATAGTATTTCACAAAAACATCATGTTATTCTTGAAAATAGTCGTTTTAGTCCCCGGTTGGTTCGCACTCAGAATGAGAATGCAATATTCTAAATATACTGCATGTCTCCGATACACCATCACAATTTTATGCGCCAGGATCGATAGATCGGAGGCATACTGTGTTTTTGTCTTGACTCAGTTTGTCTGTCTGTTGTCAACGTTAACCTTCACCATAACTGTTGAAATGTAAGAGATAGAAACTTCATATTCGGTATGCATACTCCACCAATTAATTATTTTTAAATGACACCAAAGTCAATGACCTTTTGATCTTGACTGTGGCCTATATGCTAAAAATAGCTTTTTTCGAACTTTCGCCATAACTTTTGAACCATGTATGACAGAGACTTCATGTTTGGCATGCATACTCCACTAATTAAGCATTTTTATGAGACAACAAGGTCAATGAGCTTGTGACCTTGACTGTGAACTATATGCTAAAAATGGCTTTTTCGAACTTTGTTGCCGCCGGGCGCATAGTGTTTCACAAACACATATTGTTTATTATTCTTTAGGATGATTTTCTCCTGATACTATCCATAAACCCTATACATGCACTTAAAGTAAATAAATGGTATTCTAATATATACTTTTTGTAAGTGGTAAATCCTAGGGGAACTTTGGAACCACACTATGATTGATTGATTGATTGTATACTGTTTAACGTCCCTCTCCAGAATATTTCACTGATATGGAGACGTCACCATTGCCGATGAAGGGCTGCAAATTTGGGCCTATGCTCGGCACTCAGGGCCATTGAGCAGGGAGGGATCTTTATCGTGCCACACCTGCTATGACACGGGGCCTCGGTTTATACGGTCTCATCCGAAGGACCGCCCCATTTAGTCGCCTTTTACGACAAGCAAGGGGGTACTGAGGACCTATTCTAACCCGGATCTCCACGGGACGGAACCACACTATGAAGGCGAAGAAGGGGACTAAGGATTAAATTGTCCATTCCAATCAATTATTTATAATTCACATCAGAAGCGTTACCTTTCATAGAGGGTTATCTCTATAATTTCTTTATCTTTTGTATTTATAAAGTAAAATGTGCTTCAATTTAGTTCTGATATCTGATCGTTGTATAAATGATCCCATCTCTGATGTTTCGGAGGTCCGTGCTTGCTCTGATCCAATGTTTTATTGTCTATTGGACGTTTGAGCTTGAATACTGTTCGTTATGTCTATATATTTTATGTATATTCGACTATTTAGTCTACTACATAGTATACTACCTTGTAATTTTACATATTGAAGTATACGTACTCACAAATACTTTATCTAGCGCCAGAATCAATGCATGACTTCCGCATTGATGGATTGTAACTTTAAGAGGAAACAATCGCAGCTATGTGTAATGGCTACACATTCTGAACGTTTATACAAAGAACAAGATTATTATGACAATGAGTAGTACCATTAATTCTTCAGAAAGCACAACGCTACCGTGTCCAGGTAAGAAGACTTTAAACACCTTGTGTGTTACTTTGTTATTCAAACATATTGTCATAGGCGTCGGAGAAAGGGGGAAGGGGGTATGCCTTAGCAAAGATAAATGTAATGCAGGCATCAAAAATTAGAGGTTTGCCCCCTCCCAAATTGTTTTTTAATGTGAAATTACTTTAGTATCCCTTCAATATAATTTTTGTGGGTTGTTGTTTTGCTCCTTAAAGAATATCTCATTAAAGCAAATGATCAGCAACATGTTAAATACATGAAAGTGCAAAAAAAAGAGGGGGGATGATCTTGTGTGGAGAGATTTAGAAACATTGTAAACGTTATCAGGAGATGTAGACTACTTATGACATACATATATCTAATTATATAAACACAAATATATCTTAGTGAACAGTAATATTCGTTTTAAGCTATACAATGAGGCAATCTAATTTGCCTACAATGAGGTAAAATTTTGACCAAAAGTATGAAGAAAATAATGGAAAACAACCTATTACAAAAACGACTTTTTATTATACATGTTCATCTCATTCCTCACTTTTCATTTTATCATATCTCTATTGATTTTCTTTGCAAATTATCTACATTTATAATCTTCATTATTTTTTGTGATTGACACTTTATGGAAGAAAATAGGTATGAAAGCTAAAATTTGTACTACAATGTAGTCTCTATCTAAAATAATCGACAGACAAAAACCTATCCAGAGGCCATAAAAGAGATTGAAAGAGACATGAATTAAAGTTACTTTATGATGGAACCTAACCGAGTCCCGGGTTGTAAGCGTTTTCTAACGATAAGATTTCATTATATTTAATTCAGTAACTGATGCACCTTCCCAAGATGAGACTCCGCTGGTAGTGTTCTTGGTCATATCTTCTATTCTAGTTCTTATTTCTGGGGCTCTGCTACTTCACAAGTAAGTACCATTGAATACAGCCTCAAATGAGAATCAAATCTAGCACTTTCAGAAAAGCGCAAATCAGATCTATACTGTTGAAAATATATTTACAGTATTGGCGAAGTGTCAAAAATTTTATAACATCTAAACTGTAATCTGATCAATTCTTTTTTATGGAACTGATATACTTCAGTTGAATTTGATATTGAAACAACAAAATTGTAACTTATTTTTCCTAATTTCTTACTTTTTAAAAAGTGCATTAGTTAGAATATTTTCTTATTACATTGACTTTGGATATGATTGTCAAAATGCTTCTTATCATCAGACAACACTTTTCACATTGTATACAGATTATGGAGTCTAAGAGTGCTGAGGAAAAGCGAGATAGACATGGTTGTGACCTATGCTTCTGCAGAGGAGGGCTCCATTATCGATCTTCTCCCGGAAAATCTTAGGAATGGTAACGTTATCTATGAAGAAGAATTGGGCGATAATGATGTAGAGGAAGAGGAGAATATAACAGTAGAGTATTCGAACCTTCAATCAATGAGGATTTCTGTGGAGGAATTCATACGGGGCTTTCCAGAGAAGAAATCAAACCATTCCTTGGAAAAGGAGTTTAAAGTAAACAAAGACATAATTTTACACACAATGAAAGATTATTTTGAAATATTTTGGCATATGAATACAAAACTGTTGAAATTGAATCATCTTTTGTTTTCAAATGGACTATGTTAAAATTTATTGATAGGATTTGCCTGACGGTTTATTGGAACCCTACTCAGAGGCTCTGAAACTTGTCAACAGAAAGAAAAATAGATATAAAACCATCTACCCTTGTAAGCATTCATCGTTACCTTAGATTTAAGAGGCTTAACTCAATGAACTTTTGAGTACAAAACTTTTATATTTTGTAATGAATAAAAAATGTTATTATTTTATCTTTGGTACAGATGATCACAGCCGAGTGGTACTGGACAGAACGGACGACCCAGAGAAATCCGATTACATCAACGCTTCCTACATAGCTGTAGGCTTTTTCTGAAATCCACTTTAAAATGTATATAACAAGGAAGGATTAAATTTATAAATAACTTGTTTAATTGACTTTTGAACTATAGAGAAATAATTAATTATTGAAATTGTTATTTCCGATATGTAGAGAAGAGTTTGCTTTTAATTTATATTTTTAGATTTTCGTTTCCGTTGAGATAAAGTCAATTTCAAATACGAAAAAGGACAAATTGTCAAATTCATGAAGTCGAAATAGTTTCAATTACTATTCATACTATGCATATTTACAATTATCCACAAGGTTAACTATACATGTATCTAAATCAATATTGCTCGATTAAAACAATATCAAAAATTATTATGAAATATTAATCTATTATAAACAAGGGATACAAGAAAGAAAAGGCCTACATAGCAGCACAAGGTAGTGTCTTTTCTTAAAATAAACTTCTTTCAAAAATTACATACGAGTATCTAAAATATAGAATAGTCTAGCACGGATAGAGTGATATTTCTTTCTTATTAAATTGCCATGACTAAGATAAATCAATGGCCTACCTGTTTTAAATATCTATAGGCCCCTTTACAATGGAAACTATAGAAGATTTTTGGACGCTCATCTGGCAAACCGATTGTACTAGGATCGTAATGTTAACAAACTTATATGAGGGAGAAAAGGTACTTATGCCATGTGTTCGATTGCATGCTTCTCAAAGGGAAAAAATACAGAGAAACCATATAATTTGTATCATGTTTTGCTTAATACTCTTCAAATACATTTTACAACTGGCTTTCCAAGTAATATATAATAATAATGATCCTTTCTATTTGTTTTTGATCTGATAATTTTCAGATGAAGTGTCTGAGGTACTGGACAGAAGACACAGAAACAGAAATAGACATCGGGCCTTATCACATCAAACTGGACACATTGGATGAATATGATCGCTATACTATAAGATATCTTATTGTCTCTAAAGATGTAGGTGACACATCATTTTCTGCCTTTTCAAAAAGTCAAAATCAGTATATATTATTTTAGATTTCTTTTGAATATTCATAAGCCTACAGTGAATGTAAGTTGTTCTTATCACTACCAAAAAGCAAAGGGCACAGTTAATTCATACATTATACATCTTAGACAATTTTTTGACCATCATTGAATTATATCAAACGCATGCATTTTTATCCAAGATATTTTACTTGAAAAAGACGTTAAGGTAACCTAACAACCAAGCTATATGATAAACGTAATGACTTTAACTTTTCTGTCGTCAACTTCTCTTTCTTATGCAGCAATATACCTTCATCACTTGCATACGGAGATTATATATCTCAGTTGATTTGATCCGCAAGAGCATGCTTTACGTATGAACAATTTCTAAAACGAGGTAAATTATTGACAAACAAGTTGATGAAACAAAAAATTTCAGCAGTCTCGTTTAAAGTCATCATTTCGTAAGTTCTATGGTCCATACAATGACCTTGTCAGCAAGTACATTTTATCATTGAGTCAAATACTGACTGACGTTTTTCATACTAATTGTTAGTCCATTATCTATACACTGAATTGATGACAGATTTTTCCGTTATTTTCCGATCATGACAAGGAGCACACGGCAGGTATGGCCGGTCAGCTGGGGATGCTCACTCCTCTATTGCACCTGATCCCACTTCTGATGTTTTGGAGGTCCGTGTTTGCTCTGCTCTTATTTTGTATTGTTGTATGGACTTTTGATCTGGAATACTGTTCGTTTTCTGTATATATTTCCATTTGCAAATGTTTTCCTTTATATAACACTACTGAAAGCAAAGCATATCTAAAACCTATAAATACAGGTTTCTCGAACGTCATAAACGTTCGACGTAATTTCTTATTCACCCATTCTCAATATAAGGGCGCAAATGCCTCTCTGATTTTTAAAAAAATCAGTTCAAGATAACAATTTTTCTATCAATTACCTTTGAAAGAAAGTATCTGAAGATTTTGTTTCCAGATTTTTTTCATCAAATTATAATACATGAAATAATGACAAGACGATAAAGTAGAGGGTAATTTTATTTAGAAATGTAGCTTGAAATGTACGTTACTCTTTCTTCAATGTCCAAAAAAATATGTCAAAAAAATGTAGTCATTAAAATCACAATTGGAATATCTCATCTTAACACCAGCACATCCTACCAACTTTGTCAGCAACATATTTTCTCGGCATACGAACGTGCGTTTGATTTTTCCTTTCAAAAAACAAAGGTTACTTTTTGATCCAGATGTGTAAAAACATTTTTTAAATATATGCTTTAAATTCTTCTCTCTGTTTTGTTAAGAGCGATCAGTTTGGAATCTTGTCATTTTTAATACTGTTCGTTATTTCCATATCCTTATACTGGAACTTAATATGTACATGTAGTAAAATTCTATTTTGTAGTTACTATCTTTTTTAACATATATCCATGCCGATTTAGAAAACTATGTAAATGTAACGTACATTTCAAGATATATTTCTGTTTAATGAAAAGCTTAAAATTCATCTAAAATTCATCTAAAAATTCATCGTTTTGTTTCAGTTTATTCCAAAAAAGATTCTCTATGTAATCACATTGTGTTATATGTCACAATCACCACTATAAAGACACGATTGCCTCAGAATATGAGTAGGTAACGTACATTTCAAGCTTGTAATAATATGTTAATTAGTAATAAGAAAATATTGAAAAAAGCAATTTTTGACATAAAAATCATATCAATGAAGCGTTTTAAGGCAGTAATATAAGAAATCATAATGTAACAAACGAGGTTATTGTCATCAACTACATGAATGTCACGTCACTTCGGTAACGTTCATTTCACATATTATTGGGGAGTCCCCTCCACCTCAGTTCATAACCATTCTTTTGTGCTGTTTCGCTGAAATTGACACCGGTCGTAGCCTAGTTACTTCTAACTGTGTGAAAGGTTACAGACAAAAAAATATAAGAGTCAGATGTATTTTGCTATGATCTAACAAATGTTCGTGTTTGGCCATTGAAACTTAACATAAATCTATTCCGAATATATCCATCGACAGTCTTGTTAACAATTTCATTTAGTATGTTGCAACATCGTTTTTCAAAACACAAACATACGTGCTTTTCAGCAGATCTGGAAAAATATAACCAAAAATGCAATGATTCAAACAAAACTGAGTATTCAGTATTTGAAATGTACGTGACCGTCTTGTCTTCTGGGTTTATTTGTTTTGTTTCTTTTTCTTTTCTTTTTTGTTCTGTTTTGTTTTTTTTACCAATTATAAGCCTATGCATACCTTGTTTTAAATTATCAACAACAATTCAATTAATATTGACGAAAAGTCGCACATGAAAAGTAAACAAACTGCAAAAAGGTTGCCAAAGATGAATTTAAGACACTTAGAAATAAATTTTCTAGCATGTGGTAACAGTTTAAAACATTTATGGGGATTGGGGTGCATTTAGATGTGGCCAGTTGTCAAATGGATTGTAACGATAATTTTGTTTCGCTCGTGTAAACGCAATTCATTGACTAAATAAAAAAAAATGTCAGTTAGAAATACATATTATGTACGTTACCATACGTAACGTACATTTCAAATATAAAAATCAATTCTCTTCCACAAGCACACGTTAGACGCGCAATATATTGATACTATTTGAACCTGCATATCATAAGAAATGCATCATACAGGTTTCGTATTCAGAAATATATACCAGGTATCAAAATTATATTACATAATAATTGACCTTAATATATTTTCTTCCTCAGCAGAGACGTTTCTTTTCATTAATTTTGGGATTTAGCCGACCTCCAACCTTTGAAACTTTCCTTTGTGTACACATTCGAGTGTGTGAAAGTATTAGAATACATGAAAATTCGTGCGAGATTCACTTAATTCGAATTTCATGGTAACGTACATTTCAGTCACGTACATTTCAAATGATCACTTTTCATGTAAAAAATAATTTTTAATTGTGTTAAGCAAAACGTCTTTGCCAGTTTACAGGATACAAGGGGTTGCTTATTCAGAGTCGTCTCATATTTTCTACTTAGTATGTATTCTTAATGGAAGAATATAGGTAACGTACATTTCTTTCTTATCTCTACGATTGAAAATGTCTTTCATTCCGAAAGCATATTTATAAAAGTTGCTCAAGTTGTTCAATTTCATGTTACATTATCTAAGTAGGAGTAATTAATCCTCTGAAATTTCAAATTTAGCCCATCAGTAAATAAAGGAGAACAAAACTATCAGGTGTATAATCTTTGTGTTTGCTTGTAATGTGGTTGAAATAGAATTAAGCGACAGGGACATTGCACAATAAAAATTATTTATTATCACAAAGAAAATGTATTTATTGTTATAAAAAGAAATATATATGATACAAGGTTTAACTTATCAGAAAATTTTTACTTGAGAATCAAAACTATATATTACACAGAGGGGATTCAGAATAATATTTGCCTCGGCGACAGTAACGTACATTTCAAATAGGCTACTATATTTGAATTTGGAACTCCTTAAATACCCTTTCAGATCGATAATTATATGAATTCTTATTCATTGTTATATGACTATTTATAATGTTGATTTAAAAATTACATCAGTGGTATTTCTTTTAAATGAAAATGAGGCGACATCATTTGAGCCCTTATATTGAGAATGGGTGATTGACGTCATTAAGGGTCAATATGCAATCAATGGATTTCATACATTTCGTTGGGTTTGAAAAATAAAACATTTATTCGTTAAAAGTCATAATCAGACAAATATTAAATATGAATAAGTCACAAATGTAAATATAAGTAATAAGGTATACTTTTAAAACATTTATCTGGCTATAAATACGGGTTGGTACGAGATCAAATTCAATATTAAAGCCGTTCGGTCGTCATGGAATTTGATCTCGTGACCAACCTGTATTTATAGCCCGATAGATGTTTTGAAATGATACCTTATTTCTTAAATGTTTCATTGATTGATAATAATGTTTAACGTCCCTCTCGAGAATTTTTCACTCATATGGAGACGCCACCACTTGCCAGTGGAGAGCTGCAAATTTTGTCCTAAACTCGGCACTCAGAGCCATTGATCAGGGAGGGATCTTTTTCGTGCCAGCTCCTACTATGACATGGGACCTCTGTTTATACGGTCTCATCCGAAGGACCGGTCTCCATGTCCCACAATGGGATTCGAACCCGCGACGAAAGGATCAGCTCCTTTCTTCGCGACTTTAGAACAGACGCTCTAACCACTGCGCCACGGGTTTTAAATTTCTATGCAAATGAAATTTCTTTTTATTACTTAGAATGATGAGGTGAAGCGAGTGACACAGTTCCATTTCACGACGTGGTCTGATAACTCCGTTCCAGAGGACTTGGCCTCTCTAATTTGTTTCCGGAACTTGGTGCGAAATGGACTGACAACATCTGATGGTCCTATTGTCGTCCATTGCAGGTAACAGAAAATTCTTCATTTAGGAAACTTTAAAAGTAATCTTGAGAAAAATACACTAATATTTGCTCTGTTTAAACAGGAATTTCAATTCATGTGTTGTTGAATTAAGCCTACAATTCAATTTTGATCAAGAGTTTGAAGATAATTTAGTTCTATGAAGAAAATAAATTAATGTATTCTATAACTGTAATATTTCTAGCTCTCTGATTGGCTGAGATCCAATATTCCAGAAACCATACTAAGTTATGTTCACCTGCACCAAATCTTTTAAATCAACAGAAAAAAATATCTTCATTAGATAAAGAACTAAACTGATATATGCATTAAAGAAAATTTATTTCACCATTACCCTACACTTTTAGGTGAACAAAATATTATTTGCAATCTTGAGCTCAATGAATATTTTACTTCTCTGGTGGGTTATATATTAATCATCGCATTAACCTTTTATTTAACAAGGTATTAAACTTTATTTTCCAGCGCTGGGATCGGACGTACGGGGACCTTTATAGCGCTGGACTACATGTTAGATGAGGGGACAGTGGATAATTACGTCGACGTCAAGTCGTACGTCGCCTCCCTTCGCCAGCAAAGAGCAAAGTGTGTTCAAACATATGTAAGTGTGTTATTAGATTTGATGTTTTACTTTCTCCTTATCCCTATGACATTTTTCTGATTTTCAATTAAACGAAGAATTTACGTAGAATCATTGTTTTTCATTTTTAGGAACAGTACGTTTTTCTTCATGAAGCTCTTATCGAAGGATTGCAAAATTCCAGACAAAGTTGTTTATCAATATTGTAAAACATCATCAACATGAAATGGACATTAAACTTCAATAAAAAAAATTGTAAAATACATATCAAACTGTAAAGACAAATAATTATTCCTGTAGAAATATGACTGGGAGTCATTTATTCGACGTCCATAACGACATTTCAGCTGTAGAAAAATATGAATACAGTAAACAGTTGGTAAAGTTAAATCAAAAACTAGTTTTAAAAAAAAAACCCTAAACAGCTATTTCTTCTATCATAAACTGGAATTCCATTTTAACATCTTGTGATTGTTTTCAAAGAAATTACTTCGCTAATGTCTCCCTTTTGTATAATTATAACTCTGAGGTTAATTTTAAAAGTATGCTGGAGTTCCTGATTGACAACATTTATGCAGTCGTCGGAGACACAAGTATTCCAATAAACCGTTTAAATGCTATGGGCACTTATTGTGCTTCTTTAAAGGGCGATTTTTTTTTCATATTTCTATGAAGCAGAATTTATTAAAAAACACTTGCATTGGCCTTCATCTCGATATTAAGGTCAGGCGATATGTTCCCCCAATATCTGTTTTGTATATCTCCATTAAGTATGAAAAATACACAAAATTTTAATATCTTTATGATTTCTAAAGTGGTTCCTAATTGTGTTTAAAAATTTGAAGCAATGAATATGTGATTTTGGCAAACTAATTTTTTTTCCCTAAAGAATTATATAAGAAATGTCATCCTCTTGAATCTCGCACAAATGCCTGGTAAGGTAATTTTTTTGTGAGTAAAAATGCTAAAGTAGAAATTGTTCAATGGCAAAATCTTGGACAAAATTATATATTATTGAGGAACGTCTCGATTGTCCTTGATATATTGACGAAGTTCATATATCGACCCCATTTTATTATTTCAGTTATTTTGAAATAACAGACAAAACAGAATCTACCATACTTGCTTCGATTTTCCATGTGTTAGTGGCTATATTCGACAACGGCCAGCTTACAACAACATTTTTTGACAATTGAGATGACTTCAGCTTTTTAACGTCATTTATCTAGTCTATTCCGCCATTACCTGCATATTATGCCTCGCAACTTATTCACAACTCCGTGTTCTGAGTACACACAATTTTTTTTTAAATAGAGGCGGTCTACTCACAAATACGTTGATTTTAAAGGCATTTCAAAAATTTTGTTCAAATTCAAAGTCCTCGTTTCGTTGATTTAATGGTTTTTATAAGGACCTTTTTAGGAAAGGAAATCTATCACTGGGTCGTATTTTGACTTACTTGTTTCGTACAATTTGCTCACCCTTAAAGGCCTTTGATTGGTACTTAATTTGACCACTAGCAGCGCTAAAGGGATGGGATTACCTCACAAACTTTTCCTCATAAATCATTTATGTAAAAATATATCATAATCACCTTCAACTTTAACTGTTATCATTAATATAATGGTCTCTGTTGAAAATTGTACAAGGCGAAGCGCAAAACATGAAAAAGAAGACCTTGACATGTTGTCAGAATGAATAAAGAGTATCAGATGCATGTTTATGTTCTCCAGTGTAATTTAACTAATTTTACAAGTTCACTGAAGCTAGTTATTTGCACACATTTCTAAATTTATGTATTTATTATTTATTTAATTGAATATTTTTCCGAAAAAATAACAAAACATGTTTTTTGGATGATAAAGGCCACAGCTTTAATAATTGTTTCAATGACAAATGTCAGACAAGAATTTAACAATCATTGGGTGCCACACACCTAAATCGGTAACGGGCGTTATGGCACCTCGCCTTCTAGGGTAATCCATAGCAAGGCGTAACAATATGTATAAATCGACTCCTAGGGTACCCCTTAGCGAGTCAGCTGGGATATGTAATTGCCTCCTAGGGGATTCCTTAGCGAGGCACCTGTTATACCCGTTATACCGAACAGGTAAGCCCACTATACAGAGTAGGGCAAAAATAACCACCGTTATACCGAACGGGGTACGAGGTTACTGTTATACCAAACAGATCCCTCACACAAGCTTCTAGTGCACTCCATAGCAAGCTTGTATTGGCTCCTAGGGTAGCCTTAGCGAGCCACCACATGCTCTACAAATCACGTAAAATAGATAATCATACATAACAATAATTAATATAATGATGACAAATGTCTCTGCTTGTCTGACATATCCGTAAAGCTGCGACAGCAACATATCGTCAGTCCTCAGTCCCATTGCCTGTAGATCACAATCTTGCGCAGATTAAAATGAAACATCCATAGTTAATTGTAACCTGAAAAATACAAATAAACAGCAGAAACAACAGCATCTCAAATTCTTAACATGTTTAAGGTAGCAATCTATCAACAACTAAGATTTAATTTCTCATTAAGTGGGAGTGGGGGGTGGGAAACAATTATCAAAAGTGCAGAAACGCTGGGAAAGCTATCGAGCGAGAGGAGAAAAACGCCACGTGCGCCCCTCTTTTATACTCGCGGCAATCGGGGAAAGTGTCAAAAGACCTACCCCCTGTGTTTTTCGGAAATCAATTAAATGCGTTTAATTAGCGATTGCTTTAAACGACCTTAATTGAATATTTTTCCGAAAAAATAACAAAACATGTTTTTTGGATGATAAAGGCCACAGCTTTAATAATTGTTTCAATGACAAATGTCAGACAAGCATTTAACAATCATTGGGTGCCACACACCTAAATCGGTAACGGGCGTTATGGCACCTCGCCTTCTAGGGTAATCCATAGCAAGGCGTAACAATATGTATAAATCGACTCCTAGGGTACCCCTTAGCGAGTCAGCTGGGATATGTAATTGCCTCCTAGGGGATTCCTTAGCGAGGCACCTGTTATACCGAACAGGTAAGCCCACTATACCGAGTAGGGCAAAAATAACCACCCGTTATACCGAACAGGTAAGCCCACTATACAGAGTAGGGCAAAAATAACCACCGTTATACCGAACGGGGTACGAGGTTACTGTTATACCAAACAGATCCCTCACACAAGCTTCTAGTGCACTCCATAGCAAGCTTGTATTGGCTCCTAGGGTAGCCTTAGCGAGCCACCACATGCTCTACAAATCACGTAAAATAGATAATCATACATAACAATAATTAATATAATGATGACAAATGTCTCTGCTTGTCTGACATATCCGCCACTCAGAGATGTCTATACATCTCTGCCACCCAACAAATAAAATTTAAGATGAGATAAAGCTTCTATAGCTGATTAAAAAGTGTTTGTTGTAAGTCAGACATATGGACTCCGTCAGCGCGGTAAAGCCCCTCCTCCGAAAACTCAATATCAGGGTGATTAATAACTCTGCCGTTTACTGATGCGACTGCCCTATGAGCAGCTCTATCAACTCTTTTTCGCTTCCGTTCGACGGAACATATGTCACGACCCCCTATCCCTTTTCAGCGCGGGAGTATATCAGACCATATCATTTTGCAACTTGGTAATCTGTTTGTCATTAAACATATGTCGTGCTCTATTCTGGTACATAATACCTCGCTCTTAATTGATGTGATATCATTCCCCCCTAGGTGTATAATTAAATATGCGGGAGGACTTTTGCTCGATAGAGTCAATGAGCTCCCCCCCCCCCCAATTCCATGCCCCTTTTGCCAATCCAGGTTACCTGAACGCCTAAATTTTACAAGCGTAAGTTAGTAGTCAGATTTGTAGCCGCCTATCTACATGCCTAGTAAACAATTGAAGATCCCACAATCCATACAAGGTGCTCTAAGGAAGCAATAAATAATATGGTAAATACAACTCATCCACAAAGCTTTTATCATATCTATTCTGATATACTTTAGGAATGCGCTTGATTTCCAGCGTCCCAATAATTGGATTTTGTCATGTGATACCGCTTTTAAGGCAGGACACGCTGCACCTCCAATTCTAAAAGAATGTGATTTGTAAGCAGAAATTGGGTGATTAATTTTCGAAAGGGTTTTTCTCAAGACTGCGTTAAACTGATATCTAGTTAGCGGGGATTTATTGCTATGCACGAATAATGAACTCTCAACACGTGGTCTCACTGCAAAAAATTTCTTCAAGTTATTAAATGGGCAAATGTTTCTTTGATGAATAGATGGTAATAAAATATTGATACCTTTTCCTGTTTGATCAGTTTTAGAGAATCGTACAGAAATAGAGGCGCAAGTAACGCTCATTGACGTACAAAATTTTATATCCTTAATAGTTAAGGGTACGTGGGCACAATTCTCCCAGGTATAAGCTAATTCCCCTACCCTAAATAGGGCTTGGTGTAAAATGCGGAGGATGGAGTCTCCACAAAACTCCAAAATGGAGGGTCAGAGAGTGCAAGGGGTGGAGCCTCTTGTGTTAGATGATGCAGGAGGTGGAGCATAGTGCTTGTCGTAAATTTAGCACGTGCTTATTAGATCTGTCATCTCATTTTCTGATACTCCGTGAGAATGTGTTAGAGTGTTACATTACCCAAACAATTAAAAAAAATAATTTCATTGAAGTTGAGTGAATGAAACTCAGTTATATCTCGATCCAACCTGATTTTGTGATGACCATTTGACAGTATCTGATGACATTTGTTTATAAAGTCCATAAAATACTAAATGAGAAACAAAGAAACAGGAAACAGTAAAAAAAAAAAATAATGAACACCACATTTCAACGAGGGGAACAGCTTTGCTGATTATTTAATTTTTAACGATAACAGAGACTGACTGAAACAGAATAGCATCAAAATTATTATCTTTTGGTGATATTATATACAGATATATATAAATAGACTGATATGTATATAAAGGTGTCAAGGAATATCGGCCTCATTACAAAACACCTATTACCATCTGAAATCTGATTGCTGTCGAAGACACTGTCCGATGTTGGAAATGTGCCGTGATGTCATTATTCACTCAGAAATATTATCCCATTTTAGAAAAATTAAAAATAATTAAATAATAGATTCAGTAAATGAACTGATTGTTTTATTAGAGAACTCTGGCCATTAACTGTTTTTATTTTATTTTATTTTTTTTTTTATTTTTTTTTTTTTTTGCTCTAAAAAGAATGAGAAACAAGCATCATGATAAAGAGACAACAAAATGAGAATCGAAATGACCTACAGATATGAGAAACAAATGAGGGGCATGCAGCCCGTGCTTGTGATTTAAATTTTGTTTTGCGATATCACAGATGCTAAGTGCAATGGAAACTGTCTGATTC